CGTGTATATGTGTATGTGTGTATGTGTGTATGTGTATGTGTGTAAGTGTGTATGTGTGTATGTGTGTATGCGTGTGTATGTGTGTATGTGTATATGTGTATGTGTATGTGTATGTGTATGTGTGTATATGTGTATGTGTATGTGTGTATGTGTATGCGTTTATGTGTGTGCGTATGTGTGTATGTGTACGTGTGTATGTGTATGCGTGTATGTGTGTATGTGTGTATGTGTGTATGTGTTGATGTGTGTATGTGTGCATGTGAATGTGTAAAAATGTGTGTATGTGTGTATGTGTATGTATGTGTATGTGTGTATGTGTGTATTTGTGTATGTGCGTGCGTGTATGTGTGTATGTGTGTGGTTGTGTGTATGTGTGTGTGTTTGTGTGTGTGTTTGTGTGTGTGTTTGTGTGTGCTTGTGTGTTTGTGTGTGTTTTTCTCATCCACTGCACTTTCTCTGTAGCTGCAAGTCGACATCCATCTACAGCAAGCAGGAATGTAATTCTACAGTACCCAACTGCTTAAGCACAAACTATTGTGGTATGTGATTATTTGTGTGTGTTTGTGTGTGTTTGTGTAATTGTGTGCTAATGTGTTTGTGTGTTTGTGTGCTTGTGTGTGCGTATGCGCGTGTGCGTGTGTGCGTGTGTGCGTGTGTGCGTGTGTGCGTGTGTGCGTGTGTGCGTGTGTGCGTGTGTGCGTGTGTGCGTGTGCGTGTGTGCGTGTGTGCGTGTGTGCGTGTGTGCGGTTGTGCGTGTGTGGGTGTATGCGTGTGTGCGTGTGTGCGTGTGTGCGTGTGTGCGTGTGCGCGTGTGCGCGTGTGTGCGTGTGTGCGTGTGTGCGTGTGTGCATGTGTGCGTGTGTGCGTGTGTGCGTGCGCGCGTGTGTGCGTGTGTGTGCCTGTGTGCGTGTGTGTGCGTGTGTGTCCGTGTGTGTGTGTTGTGTGTTTGTGTTGTGTGCGTGTGTGCGTGTGTGCGTGTGTGCGAGCGAGCGTGAATGTGTGCGTGTGTGCGTGTCTGTGGTGTGTGTGCGTGTGTGTGTGCGTGTGTGTGCGTGTGCGTGTGTGTGTAGTTGGGCGCGCGCGTGTGTGTGGGTGGGTGTGTGTGTGAATTTGTGTGAATGCGTGTGTATGTGTGCATGTGTGTGTTGTGTGTTGTGTGTGTTGTGTGGTGTGTGTTGCGTGATGTGTTTGTTGTGTGTTGTGGGTGTTGTGTGTTGTGTGTGTGGTTTTGTGTGTTGTGTGTTGTGTGTTATGTGTGTGGTGTGTGCGTAAGGTGTGTGCTGTGTGTAGTGTGTGTTGTGTGGTGTGTGATGTGTGTTGTGTGTTGTGTGTGCTTGTGTGGTGTGCGTTTTGTGTGCGTGTTGTGTGTGGTGTGTGTGTTGTGTGTGTTGCGTGTTGTGGATTGTGTGTGGTGTGTGTATGGTGTGTATGGTGTGTGGTGTGTGTCTGTGTTGTGTGTGTTGTGTGTGGTGTGTTGTGTGCTGTGTGTTTTGCGAGGGTTATGTGTGTTATGCGTGTTGTGTGCTGTGCTTGTGGAATGTATTGTGTGTTGTGTGTGTTGTGTGTGGTGTGTGTTGTGTGGTGTGTGTTGTGGGTGGTGTGTGGTTGGTGTGTGTGGTGTGTGTAGTGCGTGTGATGTGTGTGTGGTGTGTGTGGTGTGTTTGTGTGGTGTGTATGTGGTGTGTGTGTGTGGTGTGTGGCGTGTGTGGTCTGAGTGCGTGTGGTATGTATGTGTGTGGCGTGTGTGTGGTGTGTGTGGTGTGTGGTGTGTGTGGTGTATGTGTGTGTGGTGAGTGTGTTGTGTGTGTTGTGTGTGGTGTGTGTGTGTGGTGTGTGTGGTGTGTGTGTGTTGTGTGTGGCGTGGGTGGTGTGTGTGTGGTGTGTGGTGTGTTTGTGGTGTGTTTGTGGTGTGTGTGTGTGATGTGTGTGTGGTGTGTGTGTGGTGTGTGGGGTGTGTGTGGTGTGTGTGGTGTGTGTTGTGTAGTTGGTGTGTGTGTGGTGTGTGTGGTGTGTGGTGTGTGTGGTGTGTGTGGTGTTTGTGTGTGTGGTGTGTGTGAAGTGTGTGTTTGTGTGTGTGCGTGCGTGCGTGAGTGCGTGCGTGCGGGCGGGCGTGCGTGCGTGCTTGCGTGTGCGTGAGCGTGTGTATGTGTGGGTGCGTGTGTGTGTGTGTTTGTGCGTGTGTGTGTGTGTGTGCGTGTGTGTGCGTGTTGTGTGGGTGTGTTATGTGCGTGTTGTGTGTGATGTGCGTGTTGTGTGTGGTGTGTGTTGTGTGTGGTGTGTGTTGTGTGTGTGTTGTTGTGTGTGTTGTTGTGTGTGTTGTGTGTTGTGTGTTGGGTGGTGTGTGTTGTGGTGTGTGTGTTGTTGTGTGTTGTGTTGTGTGTTGTGTTGTGTGTTGTGCTGTGTGTGTGGTGAGATGTGGTGTGTTGTGTTGCCTTGTGTTGTGTGTGGTGTGTGTGTTGTTGTGTGTGATGTGTGTGTGTTGTGTAGTGTGTGTGTGTTGTGTGTGGTGTGTTGTGCGTGTTTATGTGATGTGTGCGTGTGTGTAGTGTGTGTGGTGTGTGTGGTGTGTGTGGTGTGTGTGGTGTGTGTCTGGTGTGTGTGTGTGTGTGGTGTGTGTCTGTGTGGTGTGTTATGCGTGTTGTGTGTGATGTATGTGTTGTGTGTACATGTTTAGTGTGTGTTGTGTGGTCTGTGTGTTGTGTGTGCGTGCGTGTGGTGTGTGTTGTGTGTTCTGTGTTGTGTGTTGTGTGGTGTGTGTGGTGTGTGTGTGCTGTGCGTGGTGTGGTCTGTGTGTTGCGTGTAATGTATTGTGTGGTGTGTGTTGTGTGTGTTGTGTGTTGTGTGTGTCGTGTGCGTGGAGTGTGGTGTGTGATGTGTGTTGTGTGTGTGTTGTGTGTGGTGTGTGTGTGTGTCTGCGCTGTGTGTTGTGTGTGCTGTGTGTGGTGTGTGTTGTGTGTTGTGTGCGTTGCGTGGTGTGTTGTGTGTGTTGTGTGTGTTGTGTGTTGTGGGTGTGTGTGTGGTGTGTGTTGTGTGTGCTGTGTGCGCGTTGTGTGTGCATTGTGTGTTGCGTGTGGTGTGTAAGTTGTGTGTTGTGTGGTGTGTGTTGTGTGTGCGTTGCGTGTGTTGTGTGTTGTGTGTTGTGTGTTGTGTGTTGTGGGTGTGTGTGTGTGTTGTGTGTAATGTGTGTTGAATTCGTTGTGTATGGTGTTGTGTTGTGTAAGGTGTGTGTGTGTTGTGTGTTGTGTGTTGTGTGTACGTGTGTGTTGTGTTTGTTGTGCGGTATGGGTGTTATGTGTGTAGTGTGTGTTGAATGTGTTGTGCATGTTGTGTGTTGTGTGTTGTATGTTGTGTGTTGTGGTGTTGTGTGGATTGTGTGTTGTGTGTGTTGTGTGTTGAGTGTGTTGTGTGTTGTGTATTGTGTGTTGTGTGTTGTGTGTTGTGTGTTGTGTGTGTTGTGTGTTGTGTGATGTGTGTGTGGTGTGTTGAGTGTGTTGTGTGTTATGTGTGTTGTGTGTTGTGTGTTGTGAATGTTGAGTGTGTTGTGTGTGTTGTGTTCTGTGTGTGTTGTGCATTGTGTGTTGTGTGTGTTGTGTGTGTTGTGTTGTGTGTTGTGTGTAATGTGTGTTGTGTGTGTTGTGTGTGGTGCGTTGTGTTTGTTATGTGTGTTGGGTGTGTTGCGTGTGTTGTGTGCTGTGTGTGTTGTGTGTTGTGTGTGTTGTGCGTTGTGTGTTGTGTGCGTTGTGTATGTTTTGTGTTGTGTGTGTTTTGTGTTGTGTTGTGTGTAATGCGTGTTGTGTGTTGTGTGTTGTGTGTTGTGTGTGGCGTGTTGTAAATGTTATGTGTGATGTGTGTTGTGTGTGCGCGTGTGTGAATGTGTTCATGTGTGCGCGTGTGCGCGCGGGGGGGGCGTGCGATGTTTTTTTTTATTTTCTGCGCGCGCGCTCGGGGGCAAACCTGCGCCCGTGGAACGCGCCACCGACGCGAGCCGCGGAAGGAGGAGGAGGATGTGCTAACGCCAACTTGCGTTAACTCCAACATGCGTTGACGCGGAGGTCCTGATCCTCAGACGCCTCCTTCTTTGCGGCGCAGGCCACGCGATAAGGGTCGACGCCGGCTGATCGCTACCAGAGGAGCTGATTGGGGTTGCGCAACACGCACACGCACACACACACACACACACACACACACACACACACACACACACACACACACACACACACACACACGCTCGTGATGAGAAGCCACTTCTTACCGACCAGGATACCTCCAGCTCCCACGACGGCCAGGTCAGGCCACGAGTCGCGAGGCGTCTACGATAGACAAGGACAACGCGTGAGATGCTGAGTTTATCCAGCGGCGGCCGCTCTCCTTCCGCACGAGGGCGATGCGTCACTGTGGCCCCACGGGACCTCGAGCGGCGCCTTCAGCCGCCCGCGCAGGAGGCTTTGGCGCAGAGAGGTTGCGCGGGGTGCGAGGCGGCACGCGCGTGAAATTACTTTAGCGACGCGCATATCCACGCGCGGGCGGCCCCTGGACTTCCCCGGCCCCGCGAATTTACAGTGCAAGCCCAAGTCCTGAAACAAAAAACGCGCGCACATTCCGTCAACGAACCAGGCCCACTGCCCGCCGCGCCTCGGGCCGCCCACGACAGATGGCGGATCGCCCTCAACTGCGCAAGTGGGCCCGAGAGGGCAGAGAAGACGGCGCTGGCCCAGCGGCATGGCCCCGGCCGCGAGACGGCAACACACGCGCGAATGGCCAGGAACGGAATAATGGCAAGCACTCTCTGGACGGCGAAGGTCACAAACTCCCCAGCCGAGGTTCTAGCAGATCCAATGAGCTGACATACATGGTAGGCCGCCCAGAAGAATCTCACGAGAGCACAAGAATGGAAAAGACTCAAACCATGGGCCAAAATGCCTCGAAGCTCTCCTGCGCCGTAGGCGTCCAATCCTCGCACGGAGAAGCTCCACGAAGCACGGTAATCTGCTTGTCCGCATCGGCCCGCGAACCGTCCTCGAGGAGGCGGGCGCACATCTGCTGGCCGACGTCGTTGAAGTCGAGACGTTGGGCAACCCCGCCGCTTCAATCCCAAGAGACTGCAACTGCGGGCCTCACCAGCCAACACTTTTGCAAAGCGGCACCTGCGCTAAACATTTAACAGAGAGCACCCCTGCATTCCAACGTAGCGTGATCTCCCGTGCCAGCTGCGGCACGCCCGCGCGATCGACGCCTGCGCTGAGCGCGGGCAGGGCCACAGCGCGAATAGCCGGGCTGACCGTCGGGCCGAACGCGCGCCGCCAGTGTTCGGGCCCACGGGATCGGGCCCCGGAAATGCAGCTGCCCCGTCTGGTGACGCGCCTCGCGGTGCACCTGCCGCCCTCGGAAGTGCCCGAAAATGGTTATGCGGGTTCACAACGACCCTGCGACATCCCCATCGCCCGCTCCATCATCTCACGGGTGGACCGTGAAACTTCCGCCGTCGCCGCAAGAGTGACAGTTACAGAATGAAGCCGACAGACTGTCAGACTACGCTGGCCCGCCGTCGCCTGCAACGTCGCCTCGTCGGCGCGCAGCTGCCGAATCACGGGGCTGGACCACGGGGCGCCCGCGGGGGAACCCGACTGGGGCCAGAGCCAGGAGCAATGGGGCTCGAGCCAACCGCGCTGCGCAAGCGGTCGGCTGCGCGCCGCGGCACGGCGCCCCCCGCGAGGCACTTGTCTTCAGGACATCCGCGAGCGCCCCGGCTAACTCCCGAGCGGGGCCGCGGGCGCGGGCGCCCCCTGCGCTCGTGGAGACGGCTCGGCGACCCCGCCGCGATATTGCGGCGACTGCTGGGTCTGGGCGAGCGCCGAGCCTGCGCGCGCGAGCCCCCCGCAGCACCGCAACGTCGTCCATCGCCGAGGTCATCGGGCCGAGCATCCCGGAGAACCCATCGCAGCCGCCGCCGAGGCCGCCGCCGTCGCCGCCGCCCCCGCCACCTCAGCTGAGGTCCTGGGGAGACGCGTGGCGCGGGGCGCAGCGGCCACCCGACGGCTCGCCGCCTTTCCCACCTCCTTGGCGCCGCGAGTCAAAGTGCATCTCGGAAGGGGGGCGCGGCGGCCCGGGCAGCGAGCAGGCGCGAATGTCGGGGGCGCGCGCCCCCCCCCACCCCCCCCACCCACACACGGCCATGGAAGAAAACGGCCACGAGCACTTCAGGGTTAGCCCGCCTATTTCGACAAGAAAAGCAAGACGCATCGCCGTCGGGCAAATCTTCGCGCGGCTAGACGGCGGCGCAATCGGCAGCGCGACCGACCCGCCAGACACGTTTCCATGAGAACCCAACCTTGAACGCGTCAAGACGTCAGTGGAAACCAGGGCCAGCCCACTCAGATCACAGACTTCTAGGTTGCGCCAGCGTTGTAATCGACATCGCATTTCGGCCCGATGCCACTGTAGATGGTTCGGCGAAAACGAGCCCAGGAAAGGCCGCAAATGTGTACGTCATTGTTTTGCGCATGGCAAAGGTGGTGACTGGGGCGAGGATGACGTTTGACGGTGGCCTCGAGGTAAAGGGCCGAAACAGTACGAGTGTTAGGACGAGTGGGTTCCGCGTCAAAGCGAACTTCACCGCGCACATGTTTACATGATGTAAACCATGCACTTGAAACATGCACTGCAACGCAGTTTTGATCCCATGATGACGTCGTCTACGTGCCTACCTGCTGCTGCGAATCGCCGACGCGCGGTATGGGCGCAATCCGACTGGGACTCCAAGTCGCTCAGGACGGCGCGCAAGATGGCCCAATCATCGGGCCCCCATGATCGGAATGCCTTGGCATGGTTGAACATCCGGGCCACATCTGGAAAAGAAGCGCACAGCATGGAAACCCTTCGCGAGGACAGCTGCGCTTAAGTTCGGTACGTCTGTGCCAACCACCAGTAGGGACTGCTAAATCCCCATCGCAGCATACAAAGATAATAGCGAGGTGAACATAATAAGGGAATCTGTCCTCCATTAAATGAACCCTCGTCCATAGCGCGCATCGACTTCGGAATGGCGCAGTCGCAGAAGAGCCGGCACCACGAGAGCACCGCATCAATCGCGGCATCAACAACGCACCATCTATCAGGGGCATGGCTAAGCATTTGTAGCCACTGAGCTAGCTAGAATAAACCATTTACACGCCATGGAGCGTCTGGGTAGTTTTCTTCTACCGCGGTCCATGCATCAATGGGCCCCTGGGAGGCATTCGTTTCGAGCACGTCCCGAGTCGAGGTAAGGTTAGCGCATCGTCGCCCGTCGGGCACGGGGCCCGCGGCGGGGCGATGGCGATTGTGCGCGACGCGCGGGATCAACGCGCCGACTCAAGCCTTGGGGGCAAAGCCAACGTCTGCAAAAGAGGGGAGTGGTGTCACGAAAGGTGATTCGTCTGCTCGAGGATGGGAACACGACCGTCGACTGCAATTCGCCCCATGTCTTTCTCCTCTGGCGGCAGCCGCAAACACAACAGGAGCCAGCCGACCAAATGCGGGAAAATCCATCGCACGGAATGCGCGGGCGATATATGCGAAGAGCTTCCGCGTCGTCACAGCCCGGCGAGACATGAGCCGAACGGAGCGCGTAGCACTTTGCCCGAGCCAGGCGTGTCTGGCGAGCCTGCTTATCAACGCGTGACAGCCGCCGCCGAACATGCTGAGCCCCCCAGGCACTAGCCGCTTCGATGGTAGTTTGCCTTGCCTGGGGAGGCCGTCCTGCCCCGCATCCTACCCATCCATCGCGGAAGCAATGCGCTGGGCCCCACAGCGTACACTGATAATCAGAACCAGATTTGCGACCTTCACCAACGATATTCCAAACCGCACCCTCTGCCGAAATATATAACCACTTTCAGGGCAAAGCCAAGGCTCCGCCCCCGTGGATACCCCGAGGGCCGCACAGGCCTCGACCACGGACATGGCGCTGGAGCAACACAGCGTGCAACTCATGATATTGCGCGGCAAGAAGGCAAGAAGGCAAGAAGTGCCGCCATTGGTGTCGCGCTGGCGAGTAGACAGAAGCCAAATCGCCCAATGCAGCGCGCGTCGTTACGTTCATCGCGCCAGACCCGATTAAGAGCGGTCTGTTCAGATGCAACGGGGCGACATTCATGGCGCGGCGCGCGTCTGCAGCGCGCTCGCGGACGCAAGCAGCGACGCGCGCGAAGGCGACGGAGGTGAAGATTGCACAAGTCATGCGCTTGAGGCCGCCGCGCATGCAATGTTCGCGCCCTCAGGGGCGCGCGCGCGCGACGCAGGCGCGGAAGCCGCGACGGTCACGACGCCCCCGTCGCACCTCAGGACCAAATCTCCAAAATAGTCTCGCTCGCCCAGGAAAATATCGAAACCGCGTCGGACGAGGGCCCGACACGTGAAAACCCGCAACTTTCGGCGCTGTTTCGCGAAACGCCCCGCTGATCCAGACCACAATAGTTTGGAACATCATGACGCGAAGGGCATGGGGGGCCACCCATGGCGCCCAGGAGCCCGCTGGAGGCACCTGCTACGCTCCTCGACGGGGGCCCGGGGAGGCGCGCGCCGAAGCCCGCAGAGACGCTCGCGAAAACGCCCGGCGCCTCCAGACTACATCGGGGGGCCTCTGACCAAGGCCCACAGGCCGATGCAGAACGCTCGAGACCCAAATTGACAGACGAAGCCGAGGCCCTCGGGCACCTGACTTCGGCGTCGGAGCAGGCGCCGGACGCGCCCGGCAGGGCGGCGCGCGACGCCGCGGAGCTCGTCTGCCTGTCGCCAAGCAGCCTCTCCAGGCCGAGCAAGAGCAGGCTGAAAAACAAGAGATAGGCAATGGCATGAACGACGAGCCCGCCCGCGCGCTGCCCCGCCGCCAACGAGAAGCGGGCGCGCCCGGCGCGGCGCTGAGCACGAGGCAAGGGCGAAGGCCAAGACGCCGACGTGACCACTGACCCCAGCTGCAGCAAGGCATTCGACTGCCACGGGCTGGAAGAGATGGATCACATCAATGAATGCCCGCGATGGACACGCGCAAACAATTTGCCGGAGACCTGCCGAGAGCAGCGACGACGCAGAATGCGAGTGGAGCTTGCGAAAGCGAAGGATACCGTGAATCGCAGGCACCAGCGGCAATCTTGAAACGACGAACCACTGAAATGAATGCCTTCGCTATATTATGACCAGCAAGAGTCGCGAGGGGCGCGCGAGACTGCGCGCGCTGCTCGCTGCCTGCGTCGCCGATGGATTGCAGGGCGCCCGCGGCGACCGCCCCGGGGGCGGGGCCAGCGCATGTGGCGCAGAAGGCATAACCGGAGAGAGCAGCATGCCGAGCGGGGCGATCTCGCCGAGAGCGCCCTTGACCATGACCTCGATCCGACCGCCCCTGGGGAGCGCGCGCCCCAGGCTCGGTTCGCTTGAGACGTCCTCGTTTTTAAGAGATCCTCAAACACATGTTGTTTCCCTTGAGACATCCTTGCTCGTGTAGGGTAGCTCATGTGCCTCAGTTTCCGTGGATAGTAAACCACAGCGGTCAAAAAAGTTCAGGGTGCCAGGGGGAGAAGGAGGAAGACAGAGAGAGACAGAGGCATAAATATACAGATAGTTAGAGAGAGAGAAGTAGAAAAAGATAGACAGACAGAAGGAGAGAGGAGGAGGAGGAGGAGGAGGAGGAGGAGAAAAGCCAAAGCTCCAAACCTATTAAACTTGATGTGTAAACAAAGAATGGAAATTAAGATATTCATCTGCTACGCGCCTCGGTTTTCGTGGGTAGTACACCACATCGATAAAAAAAGTTCAGGGTGCCAGGGGGGAGAAGGAGGAAGACAGATAGAGACAGAGACAGAAAGATACAGATAGTTCGACAGAGAGGGAGAAGTAGAGAAAGATAAACAGGCAGAAGGAGAGAGAGAGAGAGAGGAGGAGGAGGTAAACAAACAATGGAAATTCAGATGTTCATCTGCTCGTGTAGGGTGCCTCATGTGTCTCGGTTCCCGTGGATAGTAAACCA